GTTATACTGTCTTTTACTCTCCTTACTTTTCTATGGAATTGATGTCCCTCTAGAATGGAAATATTTTTTCTGGCTCACTTTCACCTAGCTCACCCTTCATTCACGAGCACACTCATAACTTTGCGCTTGTGTCTGTGTCGAAAAAATGCGTACATTTGTACTCTAACATATATATAGTCAAACTGTTAGTTATTACGACTTGTACCTTACAAAGAGACTAAAGAGAGTAAAAGACTAAAAGGAGTAAAGTGAATAACTTAAAAGACATATTCAGTCATCTATCAGTATAACTTTTTCTTAGCTAAAAACAACTCGAGACAAACTTTGTACCTTGTCCCATCTCTGGAAGAACGATTTTTTCACGAAAAGAAATTAGAATTTTTTAAATTTTTATGTTAAACCTTGAAACATTCTGGTCCTCACGTCCTTTTCAATTGGAGTGTTTCTTAATCTCATTTCACATACGTATGACCGTGCATATATTGAGAAAGTTCAAGTTTGTTACTTAAACTATGAAATTGAAGAGAATTTTATATTAATCTATGTTTTCTCTATCAGAAAAAAAAAGAGAATAATGTATCTAACTGGATTTAATAAAAATATGGTTTTTATTACTTGAAGGTTACACAATTTCAAATTACTATAAATATTGATCTCATTTAAATTGAGATATTAGTTAGTTAGCATAGATTTAGCAGAAAATAGATAGATATTAATGACATATGACTTTTTTTCTTCTTCTAATTATCTCATTTTTTTCATTTTAGTTGTTTCATCCATGAGCTAATTGCTCAACATAATATTTATTTTTTATTTTTTCAAATTTATTATATTTAAAACGAGAAGCATATCTTCTCCAAATAAAAAACAAATAATTATTATACAATCAAAATTGATGACAATCGATCGATATATAACAAGAACATTATTCTAAACTTCGATCTTTGTTCTTCTCTTCTATTTAAATATCTCAATATTTTTTTCTTCTTCGTCTCTTATCATTTTTTATTTTCGTTTAATAAACAAATAGATCTAACAAAGAAGAAGAAGAAGAAGAAGAATTGATGAATATTATTATGAACAAATATATCATCTATCATATAAAAGCAAGCGATCTAGCAAAGAAAAAAAATTGTACAAAATAATCGATCAAAATTGTTTCCAAAATACATCTGTCATCAATTAAATTGTGTGTTGTATAATCACATACATATATTAGTTTTTTTTATTTATAAAACTTTGATTAATGTACGCACATATTTTTGTTGTACAAACGAACAAATAATACTTTAAGAAGAAAGAAATATTAAATCAAACAAAGAATATAGGTAAAATTTGTTTATATATATATATATATATACAGATGTATATAACAATAGCGAGAGATGCACAACACCTGTTTTGCATATATATTTTGTTCATTTTACCGTTATAATTACATATTTTTACATCTATCAAGTAGTTAGTTCATCCCTTCAATGTTTATACCCATATTGATGGATAAATTTATGCGATAGTATTTGTTTAATATCTGTTTAAGAGTCCACCATGAGAATGACACACATACACTCACGTCTTTTTCTTTTCATTTTTTGAAGAATAAAACATGAATATCGTCTGATCTCTCAAATAATGTGTAAGTTTAGAAAGTTAAACGAGTTTAATATTTTTTTATTACTGATTAATTGATGTGAGAACCAATTACGTTTTCGTAAGTTTTTAATTGTAGAATCATGCTGGAATTTAAGTGCAAAATATTGCATGTCACTAAGCAAAAATACACCAATAGGTAAACTGATTTAGTCCAAGTCAACATCCGAATTTCATGAATTTTGAAATCAGATAAGCCTTATGAAGAAATTATAGAATAGTCTTTGAACTTCTTCATATCAAATGTAGAGAATGGATAAAATGAGCATCAATATTAAGTACTTAAAAGAAGAAATTCATTCTAATTAAGAACAGCTCTAACCTATCACAAAAAACGGTTCAAGATCAAACTAAAAATAATAATTTGTTGAGTATGTGTTTTACTAGCACTATATGTCTTCTTTCAGAATTCATAGCATATGATATTACGTCAAACATTTTTACCAATTTTTTTATAAACTATTTAAAAACATTAAAATCTTTTGATTTTCTCAAAACCCTTTATTAAACAAGTCGAATTTTTTCTAAGACACAATCGTCCTGTAGAACCATGTCTCCATAAGTTATTCTGCAATCATATACGACTTCTTTCTAGAAATATTACATCAACTTGGCTAAACTGACCAAAATGATGTATTCTCATTCAAATGCATTTATCTTTTTTCGTTCGTAATGCTAAGTATTTCCAATTTTTCACTATTAGACTTTATTACGAAATGATCATTTTTTTTTCACACTAGGTATTGAAGTTCTCTACGTACCGGATAGATTTTGTTTTTCCATTTTTTATTGTACTCTGTAAAAATACGAGCTTTAGTGAAGAGACTGCTCTTAATTAACTGAAATCCGATCGTTTTTTATACAAAAATAAGAGCAAGATTTTATAGTGTAAGTATGAACAAAAATATGCGTTTTACAGAGTAGTGACACAGCTGAACGACGCCCATTCTTCAACTAACGATCAATATACAGTTGCGTAACAGAGTATAGAATAGAATCAGCGTGAGATGAGATATGGATCAAAATGTAAGAGTGCAGACGAGTGGAAGAATTACGTTAGACAAAAAAATATCGTTTATTACACTAAATATATTCGATGAATACTGAAAATTTTCGATGTGATTAGTTCTGCAAAATAATCGAATAATCTCGATTGACATAAAGCATACATTCTTTGAATTAACCTTTTTTATGCATGTGTAGTTTACCTTACATTGATATAGTTCATTCTCTGGTTGAAATTTATTTTTCAATTGAACACCATGTCTTGAGTTAAGCATCTCAAAGGTGGAGTTAAAATCACACCCCTATATACTCCTTGAAGAAAGTTCAAAGACTATTCTGTATTCTGTTCGATCTTGTGGATGATTCTTTAGAATCACTGGCTAAAGAATTACCTGCTATTCTACAGATTCACCCGAAAATCTGTAAATTTTCAAATTTTTTCAGAGATTCTATACTTTTTCGGTATCTATATCATTATCTTTTGACAGAGTTACTCTATTTAAAAGACACGTAGAACGTTTCTCATTATCTTCGGTCATTCGTTTATCCATTATAAAAAGTGGCAGTGTGTTTGAGTACGTACACATTTATGCTAAAGTTTGACTTTTATCTCCAGTTAATTAATAATATTATAATTATATAGCATATTTGCGGTCTTTATTGGACGTCAAAGCCTCAATGCTATTAAATAGAACAAGATTGTATCATATCATCAGGTTCATCTTAGCGAGGTTATATATTTTAACCTGAAAATATTTTTTTTTTAATTAAACCCTAACCATAATTGTCTTCTTGGATGATTGAATTTGATGAAGGACATACGACATATGATGAGATGATGGAAAATAACGAGATACTTTCTTACTTTTCAATAATATTTTTCGATCACATTAACTTTGTTCCATCGACAATTATAATAGTGTCATTGAAATTATTTATTGAATTCACATTCGAAGCTATGATTACTGTACTGTGTTTTATTGTTATTATTCGTATCCAGCTCTCCCGTGCTACAAAAACCTATCGTGGTAACTATAAGTTTGATCTGAACCAAACTTTCAGGGGATATTGACCACTTCAAAGTATGGCGAAGAAATGTTTTTTTTTGTTTTTAAGTCTTATATCTTATTGTTCGCGAGATGTTGCCAAACTTCCATCTATTAAAAGATTTCTCAGTCGAAAGTTAGAAGGTTTGATGGTTTTAATTTATTATTTATTTAAATCTGAAGAAGCTTTAAATATATATTCTGCCAAAACTGCCATTTAGGAAAACAAAAGCTTAGATGGAAAATCGAACACTACTACATAATTGCTTTCACCTTTACTTTAATTAAGAGAAAATTTTGTCATTTCTTACCCTTTATTATTACACAGAAATCTATTAAACGATGAATTTTGATAGAAGAAAAAATATTTTCCAGAAACATGGCACCAGTGTACTGCGTACTTTTTAGGACTTCTACTACAGGTCGTACCATTATCATCATATTTACTATCATTTTGACCCGAACGATACTAAGAGCTCACTCTCATTTTGATTAGAAAAGTTTATTCCAAAAATCGCAATATTGGTTGTTTTTACTAGAAGTGCAATGAAATGAAGAAATTTTTTTGCCTTAAACTTTCTTAAGAACCGTTAGCAAATTCTGATAAAGTCGAAAACCATATGGATTTTGCTAGCGAGCAGTATAGCCTGTTCAATGTTTTTTTTGGAAGAAATTTGATATTATTGTGATGGTAGAAAAATTCTCAATCTGATAGCCATATGTTGTGAATATGCGTTGAGAGTTCACTTTGTTTCCAATAATGACTCCAAATTGAGCTCTCAAATGGTGTTCGTACAGGAAGCCACACCTTTTCACCACTGCACTATAACGCGTGATTTATAATCACCGCAACTGTTCTCTTTCTATCTATTACTCATTTACTTTTTGGAAAAAATCAATATCTTCAGAAGAAAAAACATAGTGAACGTATTGGAAAAAAAGCCTATTGACTGCAACTCATCATCGTGGTGATGCTGTAGTCATGCTCTCACGTCAATACAATCAAATACGTAATGTTGCACACACTGATTTTTATCAACTATGCTTTGAAGGTAAACCGTAAAATGCATTTAATGCAAAAACGATACACGCTTTCTTTTTTCTGACATTTACCATCAGACCAATGATTGAATGAATGAAAAACTTGAATGAATGAATATATTGATCTACGTTCTATGTTTTTTTCCTTTCTTAGGGCAATAAACAAACCCACCAATCTCTACCAACAAACATTTATCAAGTAATTACGTTTCGTTCATCTCATAACTAATGTTATTGATCAATAGGTAATCAAATAGAATGGCAAACAAATTAGATGAACACCAACAAATAATAGAGAATGCAGACACTGCCGTCAATATCAGTCTTGTACAACAATCGGCACACATACCAACAACAAAAATTGGTGGACGTGGCTCGGTATTTCGAAAAAGACGTCGAGCAACTGTAAATAGTGTATCAAATCAAAAAGCATTTGAAAATAAACTAAAACAATATCGTTCACAATTTGCTCTAAATGATAATGATTACTGTGATATAACAATTTTACACGATGATGGTACCATTGAAATATTAAAATCTGTTCGTGTACATTCATCAGGATCCTTAAACATTAACGAATTTACAGCATCAAATAATGCCAACAAGTGTCAAACACTCCATCTAAATGATTTTGATAGAAATTATTGGCATATATTATTTGGACATGATACTGAGGATATTATCGAACTTATGCAACGATGTCAACACCAATCAATCGAAGATACACCACAATTTACTCATAATAATAACGATAATTATTATCATCAACAAAAACCTTATATAAGGTATTCAGATTCTATATCAAATAACTATTATCAAGAATTACAAAGAGGACGATATCATTATCAACAACCAATGATTCAAAGACATCCATTTTCACAGTCGAGATATTCGTCAGCTTATCAAAACTATCCATATTTATATAATACCAATGATTACGTTAATCCGTATGTAGATGAGAATAATCTATCGAGTCAACAAAAAAATGACAATAATGCACAAGACAGTAATAATATTACCAAATCGAAAAAAAAACGACGGAAGTCAAGATTACTAGAATCAAATACAATCACTGTTAATGATGATTTGACAAAAGATTCTTCTAGCGATATCATCATTACTCATACAAATCCATCGACTACTAACGACATAGATAATTCAATTATTAAACGAAAACAAAAACGGAAGCCCAAAATACCTTCTGCAGAACCACCAATAACAACAACAACAACAGCGCAGTTAATCAATACTTCTATACCGTTTCAAAATGATTTAAATGAAAACAGTTCGAAAGTGAATAAAAGACGAAAACGAAAGCCAAGATCTAAAGTCATTGAGACAAAGACTACAACCGATGTAAAAGACATTTCTCCATCTAACAATAATAATAGTAATAATGATCAATTACCAAACGAAACATTGTCAGCTCTAAATGTGTCGAGAATATTAAACAAAAAATCAAAACAAAGACGTAGAAGAAAAAATTTTGATTCTTCCAACCTTCTCGAACCAGTTACAATTGTAAAAAATGAACTACCAGTACCTGATAACACAAACAAATCTTCTGAATTACCTTTATCTGACAATATAATACAATCAGATACCTCTCAGCATCCAATGCTGGTGACAGATCAGTCGAAACCAATACATGTGAATAAAAGAGGGCAATGTAAAGACATGCCACATACCGAGATTATAATCGATAATCAGCAGACTCTATCTTCGATGCCTGATTTATTAGAATCTACAGACAACGTTAAAGTTCGAAAACGTCGACAACGCAGACGCCGTAAATCAAAAATCAATGAGCCAGAAAGTACAAAACAATTAGATGCTAATAGTATCGGTCTAAATTTGTCTAATGAAGTGATGAATGAGCAAAATTCACCATCAGCTATTGAAATCAATATTAAGTCGACCAAAAGAAGAAAACCGTCGAGAAAAAAACCTGTAATAATTGAGTCTTCTCCTACAATGCAGTACAACGATCAACGTATAACAACACCACAACCAAACGCAATTGATAAAAAACAAACTAAAACACCGAAATCGGCGAAACAAAATGTGATCATATCTGACGACAATTATCAAACATTAAATACTGTTTCGGTTACGCTGACTGATGGACAATATAATCAATCTAAAACTGAACATTTGACTCATATTACTAGTCCTAGTGATAATCCATCAGAGTTAATTAATCTTTTATCCAAAAATACAATAATAAATGATGACAATTTTGAAAAACAGCATAATAAAAGAGTAGAAAACAAACCAACTGTCGAAGATAAAAACAGCTCTAGTACCGCTATCAGTACTACTCCTAATATGACTCAACAGAAAAAAGAAGATAAAATAGAAAGTCCAACGAAATGTATAGTAGTAGAACAACAAAAAGATGAGGAGGAAAAATGCGGTAAAAATAAAAATTTAAAAATAGAAAAAGAAGAAAAAGAACGACAAAAGCGGAATAATGAAGAAAAACTTTTAGAAAAACCAAATATGTCGTCGTTGTCGTCAATGTCTGAAAAAAATAATAATATTTCTATTCCACATGATAATAGTCGAACGATGGAAATTTTAAAGCAGAACAATAAAGACGGGAATAATAATATTCAATGCGAAAAAATAGACGAAGAACAACGAGTAGTTGTATCTGCTGAACAGACAATTTTTTTTCAAAATAATAATTCCAATACACAGAACACCACTATTTCTATGTTTGATGAACGAGAACAACATCAGCAAAGCAATACGAATAGTCTTACCAATAACGTTGTTAGTGATAATCAAAATACAGATAAAAAAACTTCCATCCCGCAGCAATCAAATATCAATAACGACGTAAGTTCTAATGGTCTTTTTCCGTTTTTTTTATTTTTTGACAGCACTACAACACTCATAGAAATTTCTGACTGATACACCTTTTTTCTAAGCTAAGTTTGCAAACCTGATGCAATTTATTTCTGAAACTTGACATTAAACGAAGCATGTGAACCCAAACGTCTAACTAACGCTCAAGTTTTCAATTGCTTCTGAGATGAAAGAGGATTAGACGCAGAAAATTATTATTCATATGTCATTTTACTCTCCAAAGATAATAGCTTGTTTAGAGCAAATGTTTTCTTTGAATACTTTCTAATGGGAAGCCAGTATATGTAACTGTTCTTTTTTTTTTGCAAAACCAAATATACCTATATTTTTCTTCTCTTTCATGAAATTTTGAGCAAGTTATAATCATTGAAAACATCTATTGACATTTCATATATTCTGATCGTGTTGTGGTTAAAAGGTTAAAGTGTCTGCGATCACGTATAATATAAGTAAAGTTTGTAAATGTCATTCATAGAACTGAATAGCTTTTATAAATTTAGATTCTACTGGTTGCTTTCGATAGAGTCTGATTGTGGGGTTTCTGAATGACATTGAGGGCATTATTTCTAGTTGTGATCTGTTAGTCTCTGGAACAATGGGTCTTCTTCATGAAAAGCATTTTTATGGTATTTCAGCCTTTAAAGTCCAAAAGATTATTCAATTTTGCAAGAAAAATGTTTATGCTTTCAGAATCTTGCTGAACGAGATACAGGGACGAAACTACGTTCATATATATAAATATTCTAGATGAAAAATTCGATCCTTAATATAACAAGTGTTTTCGAAAAATACGAAGTGTGCAGTTAATTAATAAGAACAGTTTTTCCAGTTAAATCTTCTTTCATACCACATACAGCGCTGATCAAAATAATTCATTAAAGGATTGCTTCTCTTTATTCTTTATTTATCTTTTAGTATTTTTTGTAGAAATAAATCTTTTCTTTTGACATCATTATAAATCTGGGTTCAATATATGACTTTCAAACAAGTCGGCTTTGGTATTTTTCTATCCTTTCTATAAAGTCTGCATAAAAGATCATTAATATTAATCAAAGTTTCTGTTTCTTAATCTTAATTGTTAGTAAAATAAAGCTGAAAGTAACATCTTAGAGGGGAGCGCCATCTGTCATAACCATGACTGAAGAAGACACACCACAAAGCGTATGCACAACAGTTAAATAACTATGCTGTTGTTGTGGAGACGTGTTAATGCAGAAAGGCAGTTTGGGGTTCTAAAAAAGATGAAGTGATGTAGTTCTTCCTTGCTTCTTTATTTACTTCTATTCATCATCATTACATAATAAACAATGTTTCTTTTCTCTCCACCAATTTCAAACGAGTTATATACCCATTGTTTCTTTTTCTAGTTGATTGTGATACTATTTCCCAAACTTAAAAATAGGGTCTATAACTAATTTAAAGTTAGCAAGAGAAAAGAGATATAGGATCTGTCTTGAGAGATTTCTTTTCTCATCTTTTGGTGCGAATCCTTGTTTCAAAAGTAGGCTTCTATATCAAGATTTGAAGATCTTTTCGAAGATCTAGGAAAACTTTCAGAATTTTTCTTTTGAATAACAGAGCCTCCATTTGAAAACATAAAATTAAGTAAAAATGTTGCGTAGCCTTTGCTCTCTCTAGAAAAAGAACGTTTCAAATACATACAGAAAACGCCCTGATACACATAACTCATTAAACACATAATTTTAGCCGTCAGTCAATGTAATTAACCATTGTGGGAAATTTTTTAGTCGAAAATCATTATATACTATTTGTTCTAACACCCTTGCACATTGAGGTGTTTATATAACATAATTCCAGTACTTAATATTTACATGCCGTTCTGCTTCATTGATTTGAGTTGACGTTTTTTATTTTTTAAAATGTAGATGTTTAATAACAAGAATGAAAGAGGGTACTATTAGTAACATTCATTCATTTTAGCCAATTTTTTGGTAAAAAACAGAAGTATTTGATTGAGTCCCACTGTATATAAAATATGTTACTCTATGAATATTTATATCTTTAATCTGGAATGGGTACTGATTCTTTGAGGGTTTAGATCATTCCAAAGTTGAGAAAAAGTGGAAATGGAGTATTTTAAAAATTAAATTATTTAAGTCTGAATGAGTATCATAGAAGCAGTCCAGAAATACTTATTTATTAATCAGTAGGCATCATAGTAGAATATTTTGCCATGTTTTGCATTCAGGTGTTCAAGAAAATCTTGTTTATGATTGAGCCACAAAAATGTATCGCACGTTATGTTTAAAGTGTTTTAGCACCAGTCCAGTTAATGTGCTGAGTGTGAGTTTTCAAACAGGTACTTTACTATCGGTAGTATCACAAGTACCAGAGAAATTTCTGGATATTTGAGGATCTTAAGGTACTTTGTATGTATCTGACCAAGCGCCCTGGTGAATTGTATTTCAGTATGTGAACAACGGGTACTCCATCGACATATTTCCACATAATCAAAGCAATTTTTAATTAATCGTTTTTAAATAGCCTGTCTGCCATTAATCATTATGGTACTTTTGTGCAGTGGACAATTCGATCTTGTACATGTCACGAGAGTCATCTGCGTGTTAGCGAAAAGAACTTTATTATTTAAAAAATAAATTATCACGCAAAACAAAAGGTTGATTGTAACGTACATGGGTATCTTAGTGAAGCTTGTTCAGTAATTAAATATCCAAACAGTCTGTTTAGATACTTAACAGGTATTTTTATCAATATCAGTACCCTGGATGGGTATCATTCAGAGATTTATTTAATATTCAGATACCTTAGAGTCAGTACATTCACTAGAGAAGATACTTCAAGTAAAAATTTAAAAAACTTGTAGTTTTGCATAGTTATTGTTCTGAACCATTTTTAGGTTTCTTACAAAAACTTTTATAACTTTTAATGAAAGTATTCTCAGTCAAATAATTTTGGAAATTTTCGAAAATATACTGTGAAGGTTGGATCTCGTATGTGTCGAGCTTTCAATGGTCCAATAGACAAATGATTACTTAGATGCATTACAGTTTGTATGTAAGCTGAGAAAACCGATACGCACAACTAATTAAGATACGTCTTTATTATCGCTAGCTTTTCTGAATATTGAATTCCGCAAAACTGAGGTTTGAAAATTTCTTTTTAAAGGTAAAAGCGTTTTAATGCGTAGGAAGCAGTATGAATTGTTCTCAATATAAACTTCCATAGAGAAAAACATTTTTCTCTCCAATATAAAAGTAAAAGAAACATTTTTTTTTTCTTGAATATTACATTAACGCAAAATAGAAACAAATTGGGATGTTTTTCAGTTCCTAAAGCGACACATTTTTATACGTAAAAAAATTCACCTTATTTCTATTTCATGACTGGAAACCTTAGCTCATATGAGCGTCGTAATATGAGCACGACTTCTACAGTCTCAAGATATTGATCCTCATTATTGCTCTTATCTTTCTTTTGATTATTTTTGATGTTTATCTAATTTGTTTAATGAGTCGTATTTTGGCTATACGATGTTTCCTTCTATCTAATATTTTTGTGTTAAGTCAATTACTCAGAAATATGTGTCATTTAAAAATATGTTAATAAGACGATTTTAAGAGGATTTTATCAGATCTTAAGATAGAATAGCAGAAAGACAAAATGAAACAGTAAAACTATACAAAATCTTAATATCTGTTTGAGATATATATTGACCTGATATGGTCTGTAGAATCAGTTTGATAGTATCTATTGAATGTTGACGTTAGTAAAACTAATCTCATCAGTCATTTGTGCTTAAAAAAGGGGTTTGTTCATGTTAACGATAGCATCAACAAAATGTGACGTTTTATCTTTTGCAAAAAAGGTGATATGTGTTTTCTTTCGGATCGATAAGAAGGTATGACAGAAGAAAGAAAAAAATATCAATTAATATTTATTCGATTTTGACTTCAAGTCATCCTTTAACATTTTGTCTATTGTCGATCAGCATTAAATCATAGCATTTAAAGAATATGTGTAACGATGATTATTTGTTTTTGAAAAAGTTTTAGTTTACCAGCTTCAGAGGAGGACTAAAAATTGTATTTATAGATACATAATGAACTGGGTCGCTGAGTTTTCAATTAGGAAAGCACTAATCATTAATCTACATCTGTTGATTTCAGAAACTGTGACTAATTTTAGAGATAAATTTAAGTTCTTTTTGGGAGGTATATAAGTACGTTAATCTTTGGCTAAGTAACAATGTTATACGAAAGAAGGACGCAGCTTGTCCATAGAACGATCTTCTTCCACCAGTTTGCTGAACCTATGTAGTCGAAAGTAAATTAATGCATTTCACAATCCAGTAGCCGTTATGAGGGAATTTTTAACATTTTAGAACTAAGCAGATGGAAGATGAAATATCTGATCAATGTTTAATGTGGTTAAGCTCTCGTTTAAGAGTTTTACAGTATATCCTTACATATGAGCACAAAGGAATGCGTGCGTTATATACCTTGATTGTGCCTTTTTTGATTAAAACTTGTATATTTGCAGAAAAACATGTCAAAATTTTCTGTTCGGTTTTTTTCCTTTACTTTTTTTAGACCACATATGACACTGTTACAACAAAGCAATCACAGTTTAATAATGATTTTATTTCAAATGAGAAGAACGAGCCGATAACAATGACATCAACATCGACAGTAAAAAGAAACAATAATACAACAATAAAAAATAAGTATGACAGTGAATTGAAAACAGAAAATGAAACCATGGATGAAGAATCAAGTAGTAATGCTAAAAAATCCTTACAAATTTCTACTTCTGAAATAGCAAAACAATCAATTGATGATGCACGATCCGATTTCGAACAACTACCTAGTAATTTACATGTGTCGTCAACTGAATCTGAGCAGGAACATAGTAAGAAAGGTCGAAGTAAAGTAAAATCTAAACCATCGTCTACAGTTGACGCTAAAGTTGCTTCGTTAATATCCTCTGATCTTTCTCTTTCACCTCGCACACCCTCGTCGTTACCACAAAGTCCCAAAACAACAACTATCACTAATATATCAAAACGTTTACCATCTACGTCTGTTGAGGTATCTGTAGCTGATATTTTGTCAAATGATGAAAAGCGTGCTTCTGTTAGTGTTAAAGACAATGATATAGATCAACCAACATCAGGAGTAATGAATACTCACCACCATTTTAATTCATCAATACAACAACAAAATAAAACGATACCTACTGGTCCTAATCCAGAGCAGGAAACATCTCAAATGGGAAAAAATATGGATTTAAATGAAGCCAGTAGAGAACTAGCTCGTCTACTACATATAGGCTCCCCATCTTCTTCCAACAACGAGAGAAGGCATTCAACCTACGTTAAATTGGATGAACGAGTATTTGTTAACAGTCATTTAAATCCGGATGCTACTACTTTCAAACCGTTAACCATGTCTCCGACATACCGTTCTGAATTAGCTCAACACAATCGACGGCCGCACGCCGATTCACGCTTACGTTATTATTCAGAGTCATATCGTCAGCCTAGTATTCGACCACTTTTACCAGAATATCACTCATGGCAACAACAGCGATATAATAGTAATACTACCTCACAGTTAGGGAACTGGAATCCGGCGTGGCATCACCATCAGCACCAACAACATCCAAAAGATCGCTCGTTGACTATTGGTGATGGTAGTTCAAATGAATACTCCAGTGTACCAGCTTATCATTCACGAAATAACACGGGAAATTATCCCTTATATTCTCCATTGTCAAAATATAGCGAATATGATTACGACTATAGTGACACATCATACAGAAATCGTCAACGTACGTATTCCGGTAAAACATTTGTATTTCCAGCAGCTAAACCATCATCGTCTACCTCAAAAAAAAGTGAATCACAGAGAACACGTTCTCAATCTGGACCCGGTGCTCATCAACATCTCAATGGCGTCCATTCACTCACACGCATTATGGTTGATGTCTTGAAAATGATTTCATATTCACCAAGACAAACACCATCACCTGGTCCGCAACAAGTACCGACAACTCCAAAGACGGGATCGGCGTCATCGTTATTGAAACATTACACGCCATATCAACACAAATATCAATATCGACCATCATATTATTCAAAAAGAGTGGTACATCACGAATCATTAGATCAGGAGGACGTTTTCGAGGAATTACCATCAAACCAGAAGCAAGAGCATACATCTGATGAAATACCAGGTAATTTAAATCTGATCTACATTCATAAATTCACTATATTTTTCAACTTAAGATAGATCTACAGGCTATTTGTCACATTAATAGTTTTAAACTACACTAAAATGCTTTACTGCTTATAATATAGTCTCTTTGTTCTTATTGACCAAGTTCTGTGTCAGTGGTATCCAGGTTAAAGAAACGCAAAAGATAAAGCACTTTTAGAAATCCTATTAGAATTACCGCGCCATCGCACTTAATGAGAAGCATATCGGTGATATACACGTCAAATTCGTGCATGTGTCAGTTATACATCACGTTTTTTTGCGTCAGTTAATTTCTGAAATATACGTATTAGATAAACATGTTTAGACGAGAGATCACTTATTTATTCGAATCGACTAGTACAAAGAATCTAAATAAAAGAAATCCTTCTCATACAAACTTGTTATTGTTTTGTAAAAATGTCGTTGTCATACTTCATACACAATAGATTATATACATTTTTTTCTCAATCGTTAGCATAAAAAACATTGTATCTCATTCAATTGATCTGCTAAACATTATTTATACATCAGAAGTTTAACGTCCATTAGACCGCATAAAAACTACAAGTACTCTACATATTAATTGAGAAACTATCAATGACAAAAAAAGATCTATGAAATTAATTTAATTTGAGTTCGTTTTGTATTATTATCGACGAGTTTTGATTTATAAACATGACACATTCATTTATACCTATACGTCTTGAATGTTTCTCATTTTGTTATATGATTCTGTCAATAAGTTATACGATAACATCGATCAATGTTTATTTCAAATAGCAATGAAAGAGTAATTTTTAATGAGTTGCGTATAGAATGCACACCTTGGAAAATGAAAACATATACTGTATATAGATACCCGATATATTTTTTATGACAGTCAATTATTATCAATGCTACTTTTTTTTGTTAATATATGTCGACATGCATATAGATAATACATTCAGCTATTCAGTTAGAAAAAATCGATAGAAATTAAAATAAGAATTTCATTCCTGAAGTCTATATTAGACTATATGCTTAAAACAATCATACAGATCTGGATAGATGCATTTAGTTTTCGCATAATATGATCAAGTTTCTACTAGAATAGGAAGTAATAAATGTCTAATAATAAAGTAACTTTATCCTAAATCAGAATAGTATGAGGAGCGCACTAACCATCTAAGATATTACAAAACAAACTTCTAAATTTATGAAAAAAATCTATTATTTTAGAACTAATAGCAATTAAATTACACTACAATTTATTGAAAAACTCTATCATACATCTGAGGAAAAGTTGAAACTAGTTGTCTATCTCGGGAAAAAGATAATTGTGGAAGTATCTTTAAGGCTTTCTTCCGTGAATATCTAGCGTTTTTAACCATTTGATTCATTCTATTTTTTTTTCTCTTTTACTAGATGTATCGCAAAAAATAAATGCTTCTGCACAATCCTCTATCGTACAGGAAAAAGATGTATTCAACGATAGAAAACAAGCATCATCTAATGAGCCAGTATCTACATTTCGGACACAAAATGAAATATTGACAAAAACCAATGATTCTGATGAACATAGTAATTTTAAATCGACTAACGATTTAGAAGATAAAAATAAAAAGGATGATGTTTGTACATCAATAGCAACAGCAGAACAACAACGTATACCATCCACGATAGTTGTAGATGAACAACACAATTTTTTTAACAAAAACGATACAAAAACGCCTGTTAGTCAAATGAATGATACTGCAGGTACTACCACTAATGATACTAATATTTAAATGCCTCTGTGAACTACATATACAGCAAAGTGACTGCTGTCGTCTATTATAATATTTGCTTTTGCACTTATGATCCAAATAATCAAAAAGAACACATAGAAAAAAATTTTTTTTTTCAAACCACGATGTTGCATGTACAGAAAACACAAATTTCGTGTCAATGAAATTTTAATTCCAATATTTTTTTCTTTCTCATTCAGAACCTGCCACAGAACCAACAAAAAAAAATATTGAATGCCAACACGTGCAGCTGTTAGACGAGAATTTATATGATGAGATTAATAATAGCAGTAATAAAAGTAATAAAAATAAAATGCAGGAAATAACTACTTTAAATATAACACCTACGCTTGCACAACTGAATGATAATGGTGAGAGGAGGAGAGATGACGAAAATCACACAACATCTAAAATAAATGTCACAACATCAGCTATTATGAATAATACCAACAGAAGTAATGAGAATAATAATAAAAATTTGCAACTACTAGAAGAAGAAAAATGGGAAAAAGAACAAGAAACGAATCAACAAAAAAAAATGCAATCATCAACAACGAATAAATACAGTCAGGAAGAAACAGAACAAGGAAAAAAAAGTCCAACAGAACAAGGAAAAAACGAAACTAGTAATGTACAAATACTAACATTACTAAACAACAATGAAAAGAAAAAATCCATAGACGAGCATGCAAATAACAATAGCTTAAACAATATTAATGAGCTTTTAATAGAAAACGAAAATTATAGTAAGGAAAAAAGTGTAAAGGAAATGAATGATAAATCAGAAGAAAAAACTAAAACTAGAACAAAAGATGAATCACAACACTTTAAAGCAATACCGATAACCGTCCATAGGAGTAGTACTATTAATAATAATGAGAAAAAGTCTAAAAAATCTTATGATGATAAAATAATTGAAGATGCAGATGATAATAATAAAAAACAATTGTATAATGATACAGTGGACGATGAATTTAGTAAAAAAAAGAATGTTTACGTAGAATATGGGATGGACAAAATTGTCGAAGGTGTAAGAGAAGAAGAAAAAGAACAGAAGAAAAAAAATGAGACGAAAAAAATTATGCATAACCAAATAACGATAGGTGAAAAAATAAAGAATCCAGAAAAAGACGAAAAAGAAGAAAAAATAATCGGAGATGCACAAACAAATTCTGATTCAGTTAGAACAACACAAGAAAGCGTAGTTGATGCGGCGCTGTCCGCAGATCATATTAGTAATGGACAACAATCATTTGAAACTACTTTACAACCAAATAAAATCCTAAATATTCATTCAACGGAAATTGAAAATAATAAAAACAACATGGATCATCGTTTGACACAACAACATCAACCGTACGATAGTACAGTTCGCATAAGTCGCTCAGATACTCGAACATCAGTAAAACCACAGCCTATCGTCACATCATCATCGTCAACTGTCGGCTCTCTCGTATCTAGTACAGGCTCAGCTACATTAGCAGCAATCGATAGTAATTTACCACGGCATTCATTACATATTTACACAGCATCTGTTACTAGTCCAACGCGGTCTACTCATCGTGAACCATCATATCCATCACTTTCTCGTTTTCGTTCACCACCACCAAATCAGGGCAGACATTATCTCGATACTAGTGATGAAGAAATAATATTAGAAGAAATCCTTGAGACGACCGATATTAATCATTATCCAACATTAATAGAAAGGTGGGGTGATAAACCAACATATAGAACAGAAGGTGAATTAAAAATCGAAGAATTAGTAGAATTTGAAGAAACTGAGCCTACAATTAGCGAAGAAATTGTCTACGAATTAGTTTACGAAAAAAATAAACTTCGCTCTTGTCGACAACTAGATCGATCAAGGTCAGAATCGAGAAATTTTCGTAAAATACGTAAACGTCGTACCAAACGTAAGCGAAAACCAGGTGAGGATTCAATGACAACTGATACCGATGGAAATTTATCCGGTACAGTATCTGAATCAAGTTCAAGGCAAAGTTCGGCTGGTCGATATCGAGATGAATCATCCTATTACCAACACTTATTTTCTAGTCCAGATCGTTCGAATCTACTGAATATTAATGATTATTCTGGACAATTAACGCCCACTGCATCGACGATAGACAGCAATATTACATACTCTCGACCTCCAACAGATACAACTGAAAAACGTCGATATGTTGATGGTACATATGATGTAAGAAAAACATTGATTAACGAGGATACACATTATCCTCATGAAACCCGATCAAGAAATGAAGCTAATAATAGAAATAATTTAAATTCAATAATTTCTACTTCAACTATCACTGACTCAAATCTAAATTTAATTAAAAATGAGGAGCCTATTTCAAGCATCTCTACATCTATTAATTCGAAAAAGAACTATATATCAGAAATTGAGCGTTCATCTACCCAACCATCATTACAACCCGCAAAATATGTACAAACAAGGACAATAACATCATTTACCCAACCGTATATAAGTCAGATACAAATCAATGAGTCAGATTCAAAGACACAGCCACATTCTACAAGCATTGACGATAAACAGGGTGGTTCGTTTGTTAGCAGAGTATTTAGTAGCGGTGAGAGAGCAAATGTTGTTACTGAAAGTGAAATTGTTGATCAAAAAGCGTATGATTTACTTGAACAAATGAAGACTATCCAAAATAAAATTGACAATATCACAAATGATATTGAAAATGAAGATGACATACTAAGTGTTGACGGCGATGAAATAACTGACAATGAAGACTTTGGTCCACTACCGATTATCACTAAAGAACACGGAGTAACAAAAATAACACTTTCAGCTTCGAATGAAGACTTATCTGAACAGTTTGTTGAAAATGAATCGTCAAATCAAATTGATCGAATAGCCAACGAATTAGTTTCTAAAGCCACGAATGACGCATTATTTGGGACCCATCATCGACCAGAAACTATTGCGTCACATCAAATTCCAGTAAATGTCGACGAAGTACTCCCATCGGCTACCTGGGATGATCTAGTTGGAATAACATCTGTTACCCATAATCTGGAAGAACCTGCCACTAAAGAACAACCGGTTGATATTATACCCAAATCAATAGGTGAAACTGAAGTAACCCAAGCGACCGTTACTTCAAAATGGGATGATTTACATACAGACAGGCCAAAAAATGAAACATCCGGAAAAGCACCAGTCGAAATTAAATTTGACCAACCAAAGCGTTCAGGTAAAAAGAAAAGACTTTCTACTCCATCTGAAATATTTTTCGACGCGCGTTATTACTATGTATCCTATAGAAAGACGTTCATTTTTCTAGTAGTTCGGATGTCGATTTCTGCGCTACCAGTTTGCATTTAGTTGCCTTAAGTGTCTTTTTAATCATAGCCTTGTGAAAACAAGATCAAGCTTTTCAACAATAGATAAGATGTAACTTACGTTGGTTCAAGGAAAAACATCGATTGACTACTAATAAATCAGTTGTTGGAAGAAAATAGAGCCATAGAATATAATTCTTTCTTAGCCTTGATGTTATTTATAGTTTTAATTAGATAGGATTTTAAGAGAAGAATTATTGAATTGCACATTAGTACTGCTGATGTCAATTTTCTGAGAGCTGTTAGTAACAGAACAAAAATTACTTTACAAATAAGCTGAAGTCTTAAATTAAGTTAAGAAATTTAACACGGAATCATATTAATGTCTTAAAGTCTGCATGAAACAAAGAAAAGACGTGAGAAGCCAATCTGACATGATGAATAAGTTTTTTTCTTTTCTCTTTTCGTGAATGTACAGAAACCTGTATCAAGATGATATTTATATCTTTACAAATACTTTAAGTTCTTCCCACATTTCGACTTTCCATTCACAAATATTAAGTTAGATGGAGTATATTCGAAGAACTCGAAAGGTCCAAAACAAAACAAAATTATTTAAACCATTTACAGCAATCGAGTGCTAAAAGTTGCTTTTACTCATTTAGACATTAAGCTGCAGCCAAAAACTAAAACTTTACGAAACAGTTCAGTCGTATCAGGAGGAAAACAACCTAACGAAGATGAATCATTTAACCAGTCTGGTTTACTTGACGCACTTAAGGATGCTATTTTAAATGTTGGTGAAACGGTACAAACTACCATTAAAACGTCATTACCATCGTTAATAATTGAACAAGAAGGCGAGAATAAAGGAGAAATAAAACTGTCCAATAAAATTGTACAACAGACAATATCCGATGACTCGTCCATACAACGAAGTTTATTAAAAAATGTGCAGAAATCTCTCAAAGATACGGCTTCTAGTGCGACTGAACAGAATTTAATCTCTGATACAGCCTCGTCAACTCAAAGTAAATCAATTATTGAAAAACAACAACAGTTAACAAAGGATGCAACAAATATCGACGAAACAATCGATTCAAATGGAAAGGTACGATAATATAATAGTAATGACTTTTTCTATACTGGAATGCTGAAGTAAATATTTTTACCAATTTTTATTCTCTCAGACTCATACTCTATGTAGTGTCTGAAGAAACGTTATTAATTAATCAGCTCAGTTAATCAATTATCAGATTTTAGGATGAAAAAGGCAAGCATTTTGATATTACTGCTTTCATTCTGATTTTAGAAATCAACGGTAACAAATATACAGACAGCCAACCTAGACTCGACAAACAAACTACCATTGGAGAATAAACAAGTAGTTGAACAAACGCAATTAAGTCCAATAAAATCAGATACCACTGATGCAATAAAAGGCCGACAAGAAGCCATCATTGACAAACTGCGACAAACTGATGATCAAACGTCTTCACCACAAAAAGCCTCATCGCGAACCGACGATGAAAAGCCATTGCAATCATTGAGTCTGACTCAAGAAAAAGTATTCATTAATGACAAACCGACATTAATGCGAGCATCGTCAGATACCACTGATGAAGTAAAAGACGAACATGAAACTATTATTGACAAACTTCGACAAAAGGCCAGTGATACAGCACAAAAAGTGATTGATAGTATCCCATCATTGACAAGTACAAAACAACCTTCAACAGACGATTCTACTACCCAGATCGAAACCAGCTCAGAGCCATCTCAACCAGAACCAAGCCTGTTTGACAACGTTCGACAAGCGGTCATTGCTCCACTGACAACAGCGTCTGAAACCATACAGAAAGTAGTGGATGGTTTACGTCCCACTTCTGACACCGATGAGAAAACCACAGCACCACAAACGCTCCTTCAACAAACCGAAGATCTTAAAGCTGAACCAAAGATCGATGGCTTGTATGAAATTGTCAATAGCATTAATAACACAATCGACGAGGTAAAAAGTAGAAAACCTGTGACACAGGTTGAACAAGAGCCAGTATCGTCAGATACCACTGATGAAGTAAAAGACGAACATGAAACTATTATTGACAAACTTCGACAAACCGACACAGCTTTACAGAGTTTACATATTACTGACAACAAAGCATTAAATGATTCGCGAGAGAATACGGCATCAGTAGCAGAATTAGGAAAAGTTATAGAAGAATTAGAGGAGGAAATATTACAACTGAATGCGAAAGATTATATTAAAACAATATCATCTGGAAAGCGTGATAATGACATAGAAAATATAGATGATGCGAATAGAAACATTTCATCAATCAATGCTGTTGCTATCGAACTACCAGTAACAGATTTAGAACAAAATATTTCTGGTCAAAATGAGAAACTGAAGGCTCAACAAGAAATCCGTACTATTTCTTCAATTTCCCAAGAGCCGTCGAAGGCATTGTCAGCGATAGCGGTAACTTCAGAGCCAATAGCATCAGGAGCGGAGGTCAAACCCGTTGAAAATAGTAGTGCAACATTTTTCGTTCCTGATATTGATACAGCAACATCACCCGACGACGGAATCAGAAATTTGTGGAAACATCGACATTACGCACATCAACAAAGTTTGTCACCTTCAATAACATCCCCAACAATTGACAGTAGGCAATCATCGCCAGAAATCCCTCGCATTGATATAAAATCAGAATTTAGCTTTGACGAACAAAAATTTGCCGATATACAGCCAACAGTTTACTTCGAACAACAGCCAATATTTGATGATACTACACTAGATGAGCCGGAATCAGATGCTGCCATTCCATATTATGAGT